ACAATAAAAAACAATAGGGAATGTTCGCGTTTGTTCGTTACGTCGTTTGAATCCAGAGAATTTAGACCTTCGTTTAAAATTACGCGAACTTCATACTTTGAAAACGTTAAAGTTCATCATTGTAATCTACAGGTAAACAAATTTATAGTTACATAAGTTATACTCGTTGGGACGTCATAAATGATGCAGTGGAAAATTATAAATCTACTTAAAGATCTACCTGGGCGGCTAGCAGTTTTAAATGCATTAGAATATCAAACAGTAGATATATTCGCGTTTTCTGGAAAGTTTCTATTAAGATATGAACTACAAACATGATTCATATTAAATCTAGTTAGGATACAACACAATAAATTTATTTTATATTTAAAATGAGTTAAAATCATACTTAACCCTCCGTAGGTAAACATACTTTTTCACACTCTGTGGGCAAACCTGGTCGTTTATGTGTAAGTCCAACTATTTTACTGTTTCAGGCTTTCAAAAAATCTGAAAAAATTCTGGGATACTTATTATAGCCTTTACTACATTATACAATTGTTCGTTTAGTCAAATGTTTAAAACTTTTTTCAATAAAAATAAAAATTCGTTTCGAAGAAATACAGAAGTAAAATAGCATTACCTACGGAGGGTTAATTTGACATATCGTTTTGCTAAACAAATTTCATCATAATTTATATTTTATACAGATATATTAGAACGTTCGAGTCGCTCGTAATTACATTCGGAATAATTATTATCATTTGCCATTCAATAAATAGTATCGAAATAGTCATACTATTTCACCATTGTTGACTTGAAAAAACAATCTTTGTTTCTTTCTGTTGCCCCTTTGAGAAACTTCAGTGTTAAGAATAAGTCCCGTGAAATCTCGTCCAGCCGCGGGAAAACTGGCGTTCGATTTCTGTCCCGTTGGTCAAGTGAGACGCGTCGAGTATTTCAGTGATTTTCGCCACGGCAGCCGTGGAAATCTCCGCGAAAACAAACGGTTCAGACGAAAACGTTTTTTTTTCCAGGCGTTTTCTAGCGCGTTGAACGCAACGCATACGTCCCCATAATTCTTGCCGGGTACCATGAGAAACGAGTGGAGCGCCTCGGGCCCGCTTTTCGTAAGCGGCTTACTCGCGCAACGGAAAATTGTACTACGCTACTCTACGCCAACCCTCTTCAGCCGTTTCTTTTTCTTTACCTTAACTGTCTCTCGCTTACGCCTACAGAGAGTGTTTCCTCTAGCTTTAACGTCTAGAATATCTTTCAATGATACGAAAAAAAAAAAGCTAACGGAGAAAGTTGTTTTATTTACAGCGGCAAATGTTCTGTCTTGGAAGATTTCAAGATGATATATAGGTCAACTTTTAGATGACCTTGAATAATAGAGAACACGTTTATATTGAAGAAAGGAACTGCATAAAAGTTACATGTGTCATTTATTTTTCATCTTCCAAATGGTTACTGTCAGTTTTTATAGTTTCCAATTGTACTGGAAAATGTTCTTTGTTGTTCAAGGTCATCTAGAGGTTATTCGTTTTCTTGATGAGATACATCGTTGCGATAATAAAAATATCTGTACCGTTTCATTTAAAGGAAATGTCAATGACCTTGAAATCTCCTAAGATATAACATCTGTGCCTGCAAATCAGATGACTTTCTTTATTGATTTTTTTTTCGTAAACAAGATCGGTAGAGACATTTTAGACGTTCGAGTTAAGTGAAATATCCTGTGCAAAACGGATGTTGGACGTGAACCTACAGTTTCTTATGTGTTCCGGTCGAATACGCGCGGACACAACTTCTTACCGCGTAAGACTTACATAATATTGATAAGATTCATGCGGTTTTCGTTAGCAATATTTATTTGCCAGGTGTATGCGAAAAACTTGAAAACATAAATATCTGATACTTAGGAGAGGTCGGGAAATGATCTTGAAAGTATCTTGCGGTACAAGAATATAGAGATTTCTGAGATTTTGAGCATCCTGCAAGCAATTACACGTAAACTTCATTTCGTATAAACAAAATACTACGAACTAGAAATCACAACTTTCTGCATGTAAATTCAAAATAAAATGCTCCATTGTTCGTTCGGTACATTTCTTTTGTTCCGTATTTTTTACCTTTCTCTATTGAAAAAATTCCAATATTCATTTATAGCAAATAAAGTTTGCTCCGAAATGTGTATATGATTTTAATATTCTCGTGGCGGGGTACATTTCTCGTACATTTGCATAAAAAAAAATAGAACATGATTACGTTAAATATTGAACCTAATACATTCATCCTTTTACCTACGTTGAAACAAATAAAAAACATACATCTATTTGCGTTTGCAATTTCAAGAACAACGTAATATTGTTTATCAATTTTAATATTATTATTACTAATATTGGTATTTATTATTTTAGACTGTCTTACCACGATATCAATTACGTTCAGGAAATTACAAATTTGATTGTTTTATGAGCCTTATGAGTCGGCATGGTATTGAATCCGTTACAAAGTTAAATTTCGAATGAGATTTGTTTTAATTGATCAGTACTTCCGGTCAGCAAGTACCGCCAGGCTTCTTATTTCCTTTTGAGTATTGTACGAAATTCACACGCTGCTCGTGTTGGTATTACGTTAACCGAATGATAAACAAGTAGATATTATGCGTTTCAGGCGATAAGGTTCGTTTATTGATTCTAACGAGATTGCTGCGCGAGTCGACGTGAAGTCGCGCGTTTCTCCCTTGATTAAGCGCCGAATATATTTACCGTTGATTCGATAAGAGCGAGTTTTACCAATTCTTTCCGCCAAATGGAAAAAAACCGTGTCATCTAGAAACCGTCGACATGTGCGCGAGATTGTTCATAAGCGGTTTGCGCAAATGGAGAGCCATTCTTAACTTGTACAATCTTCGTATCGCGGCTATCTAATCTAATCAACGTTTCTTTTTCGTTCTCGGGCTTAGAAAAAAATGTCCGTTTTCATTTCGCTAATAACTCGAGCCGCATGTAGTTGGTTGGCTGAGGATCGCGCGTCCTCGACACCATGAAAACGCCTTCACTTACTCGATTAAGCGTGCTTGCATTGGTAGTCCTGCGCTTTTTCTACTTTACCTTTGCCCGTTCGCGGCCTCTGCTTGATCATCCATGTACATTTTGCCCAGACCCCCTTCTCTCTCTGTGACACACACATACACACACACATAAACACGCGCGCATATACATTCAGCAAATATATATATACAGATACTCTTTCTCATTCTGTCTCTCTATCTCTGCTTCTCTTTCTGAAAAGCTAAAACCTTTCATCGAGTCTGGTCCTCGCCCCTCCCACACCGACAAGCAGTCCCCGAAACAAGAAGCATTTTAAGCCTTTGCATCCGCAGTAACGCGAGTTTTCGCTTTTGGTATGTTTCCAGAACAGCAGAATCCGGAGTTCGACCGCGGAAGGAACCAGGAGTGCGCCGAATAAATGACGTAAATCCGAGGAACGGAAACGCAACGTCACTCGCTAACTCGCAGTCCCCCTTCCCCCACCGACACCATCACCACCCCCTTTTTCTGTCTTTCTCTTTTACCATTTTCTCGTTTCCTCTCTCCCGCCCCTTTTCGTCCGACCCACTCACGGCCTGACCCTGGAGAGCCCCTTACACGATCCACGACCCGACGACACACAACCGGACCTTTGCCCTGCCTCTTTACCCGCTTTGTCGCCTACTGCCTTCTCTCGTGCTTACTCTCGAACCAGCTTCCACTTGTCCGTTTCTTTCGTCTGTTTCGCTCCTAGACCTGCTCCCTTCCATAATTCCGGA